GTATGACAGCTTCTGAATAAAATGGCAGGTTTTTGGGCAGTTTGAACACTGTTGGAAACATTTCACAACTCAACTACAGAGAGAACTAGAGTTTATACAGTTGAATGAGGAAATGTTACAGATTATAGCTTTAACACCAAGATTAAAGATAATCCTTGTTGGTGACACTCAGTTGTAAATGTTTCAAGAACATTTATCTTCCTTGTTTTCTAAGCTGTGAATCTAAACTCTAAAGTTTCAGGTACCTGTGCGGTTCCCTAACGGTGACTCTTTTCCCATCAGTGAACCAAAATAGTTTGAATTCAGCCAAATATTGGTCCTTAACAAAAGAAAAAGAAAACCTCACTTTGGTAGAATATTTTCACCTTTTTATTTTATTTACTTTAATGTAAAACAACAAAATCACGTCAAGTTAGACTGACTTTGCACAAGTATTTCAAAATAAAAGCACCGCACATAAAATAAAAAACTAACCGGCAGATATTATAAACGCATCACACGCATGAAACAAAAGGAGCCGTTCTACCAGAGTGAAATGAAGATGTGTCGTGCTGTGACGAGACCACAGGATGCCAAATTATCACCTTTAACCTCGACTGCAGTGAAGGCAAAGATTGTTTTTATTGAATTTAACTTATTTGAAGATTGTATATTATTGTTACAAGTATTATTACACTGCAAAAAAGCATGACACACATTGGCCAAGTTGATCCTGAGATGTTTTAAGTTAAATTATCTTGTTAGACGTTGTGTGTGAGGAAGCGTAAGAGCACGCGCAGGCTGATAATTTCACTTAGAAAACTTAAATTAGGATTATTTGTCAAATATAAAGGCAGAGTTTGTCATTATTTTTTGCAGTGTGTTTGACTCATCATCAGGGCTACACTGATCTGATCTCCACTCGACTGTAATGTAATGTATTTCCTTTCAATGAATGTATAGAAGTAAACATTTACACCGACGTGAGCGTGTCGTGGTTTTTATTTGAACAGTGGGGATTTTATTTTGAAGAGATTGTCCTTCAACTGAAGTTCATTCATGCAGAAACACTTCTACCAACAGACACATTGTATTATATAAAAGGAGCAATAGCAGATGGAGCTAAGATCTTTTTAATGGTGGCAAAAAAGTGTCACCACTGCCACCTACTGTACATCAGTGGTACGACAGGTTAATGAAACTATTTAATTTAGCTCCAAGTGAAGATGTTTTTAAACCGGTTAATAGTTTTTTCATTATGAGACAAAGCAGCTGTGTATGATTCAAATGTTCTGAAGTATAAATGTTAAAAAAACAACAACAAAACAAAAAGTTCAACACAAACTGATACAAACAAACAAACAAACAAACAAACAAACACACTTTTGTTTTGTGGTTTGGATTTTTTTCAGTATTTTTTTTATTTTTAATATAAATATAAATCATCTTTTATAACATCTCGTGTGTCCTTGTTACTGTGCAAAAGTGATGAAAAAAGTGAAACTAAAAACCCGGCGGGATAAACTGAAGTAATGCATAGTGGTTGAGCTAAAATTAAGGCTTCTTCTCTTCATGAACGGCAACATTTCGTTTTAAAGTGTAATGAAGGCGATTCTGTCGATCTGTTTTAGTGTTTTAACGATTCATCGTCACAAAGGCGTGAAACACCGGAGGGCGTGTTTTTGGTTTGAGCCTCAGTAACGTCTCTACAGCTGCAGATGACATCCAGCTTTCCCAAAAACATGAAATCAATCACAAGGTTCCCGATCCAAACAGGGCAGAACCGGGTCAGTCGGGACTAAAAGGAGTACCGTATGTGTTCAGTTTGTTGTTTGGTGAAAGGTTGTAAAGTCAGTAGTAACTTTGTTCTTTTTTTCCATCCTTCAGTCTGATGGTTTGATCCTTCAAAAGTCTAGTTTAGTAGTTTATCCACAAAAAAAGCAAAAATAAGTCCGTCGCCACGTGATCCTCCTCAGTCTCGGTCAGATTGTTCTTACCGGGTCTGCGGTCCGGGTCCTCGGTGTGTTCGGGTTGGTTTAAATCGGGCTCAGAGTCTGGCGCTGGTACGCCGTTAACTCCGGGTGCCAAACGTCCACGATGAAGATGAGGCGGTAGCTGTTGGCGTCCTGCCAAACCTCGTGCTCGAAGGAATCGTCGAAGATGAGGACTTTACCCTCCTCCCACTCCCTGCAACAGCACAGGAAGGAGAAGGTTAGCAGAGATTAGTGACAGTACACAACAACAGAGATTCTGTTAGACCTGCATTCT